GAGGTTACTGTGAGCTGTGATGCCAGGCATTCTAAGCAGGGGGACAGCTTGAGGCTCTGTCTCCAAAAAAAAAAAAAAAAAAAAAAGAAGTCACATTTTCACCATCCAGAGATCACCATTATAAATGCTTAGTTCATACCCTTCCAGATCTCTTTTCTAGACTTAATTGAGTTTATGAGTAACCTGTTTTTGTTTAGCTGATCTCTCTACCTTCCCGATTTGGTAAATTTTCATGTCATCTAATACTTTGACCTTAATCAGGTTTCTCTAACTTGGCCCCAAAATGCCAGTTTCAGAGCACGTGCTGCATCTGGTTGTTTTTGTCCCTTAAAGTCTCGTTAATCTAATGTGGTCCCTTTTTCCCTAAGACTAACTTGTTGAAGTAACCATCCCCGTTGACCTGCTGGAAGTATCCCACCCTTGGATTTTTCTCTTGGCTTCTTAGTGATATCATTTAGCTTGTTCCTCTTCATTCTAGTTTTCCTATCAACTGGAAATTAGATCTCATTTGCTACAGGATCTCCCTTAATCCTCTCTGTTAGGCTCTGATGTGGTTACTATACCCCACTTTGGCAAAGGGGAATACAGAGTCTCTGAGGATGCTAAAATGGACCCATATTCACCACTGCAGAGCTCATACTCTCTCACCCACCTCCAGCCTGATTCTCCCCCTCAGCTCCTGACTGCTGCCTGAGATGGGTGGCACTGAGCCTGGGGCTAACCTCTCCCCTTCTCTTTCCTGCAGTCCTTATCTAGCAGCCCTCAGGCCCAGCCTCCTCGGCCAGCAGAGCTGTCAGATGAGGAAGTGGCTGAACTTTTTCAGCGGCTGGCAGAGACACAGCAGGAGAAATGGATGCTGGAGGAGAAGGTGCTGTCTTTCTGCCTGTTCGTCCCCACTTGAAGTGGGGGGGATGTCTGATGGGCCCCTCCTCATGTGTGAACATGCTCAGTCGAGAGGTCTGAGGTGGGCTGGGCCATCTTGCAGGTGAAACACCTGGAAGTGAGCAGCGCTTCCATGGCAGAGGACCTCTGCCGGAAGAGTGCCATCATTGAGACCTACGTCATGGACAGCAGGATTGGTCAGTGCCTCATCCCCAGCTATCAGCCCTGTTTTAGCCTTCACCTGGCCCTCCCTTTCCATTGTTCTATGCTGTGGTTTCTGTCCTTCTCTCCTCTTGGGACTCAGTGAAGCTAATGACAAGACTGCTGTGACCTGGGCTGGGTGTGGTGGCTCACGCCTGTAATCCTAAGCACTCTGGGAGGCGGAGGTGGGTGGATTGCCTGAGCTCACAGGTTCAAGCAAGAGTGAGACCCTGTGTCTGAAAAAAAATGGCCAAGGCTCGGCGCCTATAGCTCAACTGGCTAAGGCGCCAGCCACGTACACCTAAGGTGATGGGTTCAAATCCCCAGCCCGGACCCGCCAAACAACAA